TCAAATTGGATTCCATGAAAATACTTTATTTTCTACATAATTTTATTAGAGGCGTAAAGTACGGGAAAAAGAAAGTTGAAAATGATTATGACGTCATAATGAATCTAGTACCAAAAAGTTAGTCTGAACTCATTTACTAGATCTTGACCTTAAGAGACTTTGAAATTTACACCTTCGCTCAACAAACTTTGCCAAGAAAAGAAGATATATTAAAGAAGTCAAGATAAAATTTACACAGTTTTTTGCCAGAAAATCGCATATTTTGACCAATATTTCAAAATTTACATCACTGACCCTAACTTTTTCTTTCATTATTTTAAACTACTCGATACTACTGACCGATCAGCACTTCAGTCGTAAAAAGTTTGATACAAGAAAATATTCTATTGCCTATTTAGATTTTTGATACCCTAAATATGAGACTTTTTAAGTGCAAAAAGGTCCCACAATAATTTACGCGCATTAATTTGCATGATTTGTTCAATGATAAATATTATTCAAACTATTTTACGTAAAATAAGATTATGTTTATTGCCATGGTTACATCTGATAAAATGTGATAACGGTTAAAGTGATTAACAAAAGAGTTACAATTTAAGTGCAAAAAGGTCAACTTAATTGTACCGTAGCTCAGTTATATGCACACTGACCCCCCCATTTTCTCTGCGATTTTGAGTCATACTATACAAGTACTTATCCAAAATATACTTCTCAAAAAATCCTTGATATAACAAATTTCACGAGTGACATACCTTAACTCATAAAATTCGCGGACAAATTTCTCATACAGGGGGAATATGTCACCGGGTTTCAAGGTGTGTGAATATCGGTCAATATATATAGGGTCTCAATTAGCTCATTGGTTAGAGCGTTGGCATGGTGTGCCAGAGGCCCTGGGTTCCAGTCCCGTTTGCGAACTTCATTTTTCACAACCTGTGACATATAGTCAGAACAGCATTAAATCACACTTTTCAAATATCATAAAATCCATTTTATCTTTGAAAAATACCCATGTATGTTAAAAAGACAACCATTTCCAGAAGTAATTACATGTATAGCATGTCTATTATTTGTTTAAACTTTTTTTAATTAAACAAAAATATGGAAGTTACACAATTTTGTAATTCTTAAGTTTAATTATGGCTCCGAATTTTAAATATGTGCCCGTATAGAGCAGTTAATGGAAAAGATATAAATCTTATTGTTATTAATAGACAATCAAATTAAAGTGCTAGTTCTAATTAGGTCTTTCCACCTTTCTGTGGAAAGACCTATTGAAATTGTTCTGTTTATTATTTGCTCAACAACATTCGAACTTATGCATGTTATGTATACATCGATGACATCATGATCTACAATACTTGCTGTAATACAGACGGTATACATATGTAGGTAACATACTAGTAATTTGGATTAAAAAAAAATTTTTTTGCGTCGCTAATTTCGTAAAGTAAGCAACAAAAGCAGCCTTGTAGTAAAAGGTGCATTTCATTATTCACAAAAGAAAAAAAAGTTATTCAAATGTAACTTTAAATCTTGATCAACAGTTTTTACAACTGATCATCTATATACTTATTTAATGAACAAAGACAACATGAAAGAAAGATTTGCAGCAGTGGGGCTCCTATGCAAGAAATAAGAAATGCTGAAAATTATACATACATATATATATATATATATATATATATATATATATATATATATATATATATATATATATATATATATATATATATGTATGTATGTATGTATACATGTACATTTATCATAGAAAATGTGCATCGTTGATGAATCGTGTTGATGGGCGATTTGTTAATCGTTTTTCAGAATCATAAGATGCAAGGATTCTATTAATTATATTTTTTTGCATGAGCAAAATGTGATTGTAAGCGTGTGAATTCTACACAGGGAATGAAATATTTCCTCTTTTAAAAGGCCACATATAGCGCTTTTTCGATATAAATACATATATTTTTTCTGCAGGTATACGAGGCCTGTATGCTCCTTTGGGTCATTTACAAGAAAAGACGGTAGAAATTTAAGCTGTTACATTTTTCATCCTGAAACTCTTATTTACGTTGACGCCATTAAATCTAGCTTGTAAGCGAGTCTGACCTGATGCGTTATTACTTCCAGGGATTTATCAGTATCTTCTCAGGGGCCGAAATTCGGCCCCATTCCCAATCGAAAATATGTTCAATTTTTCCCATTTTGGCAGTATTTTTTTCCCAATTGGTGAACAAGGCTTTTATATTTAATTAACTTGGAAAAAAACTAAGTAAAATTGTCATGCATGTAATTTTCCTCTGTTTAACTCATTTAGCAAAGTTACAGTCATAACCCATGTTTTAAAAACACTGGAAAACATCGCCGACTATATTAATCCGAATTTCTTCCGTTTTTCTGAAAACGGTGATATTGTGTGATAATATGGATTTATTAAGTTATTTCCACCTACTTAAATTGATCTATGAGTAGGCATTATTTCAGATGGAAAAATATATTTTCAATGCATTTTTACATATTAAAATGAAACTTAGTTTTTTTTTTTTTAGGAGGTTTACATATATATTCTCCAGAAACAGATTCTAGTGACCTAAATTGGAATCCCATACACACATGTACTACCCCAAGTTGTATAAATACTTTATACTCATTGAAATCATATTTAGTTTTATTAGTCTATTATTCATGATGAAGTTGGATCATATAACATTTAATTGTCTGTTTGGTTGGCCAAATTAGAGTTCATGCTGAAATGTTAAATGAATTACATCTGAATACCTGATGTAAGCAAGATTTTTTATTTTTCCCAATTTCATCTACATGTAATAGCCGATAATATTTTCCCAATTCCCCAAAAATGGCATTTCCCAAAATAGGCTGATAAATCCCTGACGTCGACTTTAGATTGAAACTGCAGAGGAACAGGTGTATTACCTACCAAATCAATAACTCACAAGGTGTGCTTTATACATTAGAAAATATTAGTTGAGAAAAATACTGTTGAGTACTCTATTTACAAAAAGACAAATGTCTTTCTTGATTCAGATCTTTGAATGTAGAAATCACTAATTAGAAAATAGCAACAATATAAAATTCATCATTTACCATGAAATTAGTCTACATTATACATGTACTTATCTAATGTGATTTGGTGAATGAACACAAAATGCAATCTTTATCCGAATACTAATACTTACATGTAAATTATGATGTGTTCGTAAATATGTGTATAACAATGAATACCGATATATCTGATACTGTATCTATAGCAATGACGTATGCTGCCGATTTTGGACTTTGGATCGGTGGAAACAACATCGATAGGCCTACCGAGCACAAGTTTGTCTGCATCGGATCTGAGAACCCTGTTCCTTTTAATTATACAAACAAACTGGCACCAAGGTCAAGCCAACAATATGAATGGAGACCAGGATTGTGTTATTCTTCTGTACTGAACAAATAACAACCACTATATGAATGGGGAGATGTTGGCAGTGGTGAGAAGCATTCATATATATCTGCGAGATGACCTATGACGTCAGTCAAGCGCCAAGTCATCAATATCCAAACACATGCAGTAATTGGTTAAACCATGCAGAATGGACAATATATTCGACTGTCTAATTTTCAACATTAATTATCTTTCTAGATGCACATTAATCTATATTCTACGTCTTAATTGTAGGTTACATATAGGAAAGATTCATTTGTTTGCATGTAAATGCTCTTGTATGCAATAATTGTTGAATCATGTTTGATGATTACATATTCATTTCTTTAAAATGAAAATTAAATATGAATAAACCGATTTTTGAAGTTTTAAACAGTTTTATATAAATATTTTATCATAGGGGCGTTTTAGTCAAAATGTATATCGATGAATTAAAGATTTTGAAGGTTAGATTAATATCTTATTGATTAAAACAATATACAACGACTGACTTTCAAAAATAAAAATTTATATTTTAAAAGAAATATCTCAAAAACCCTTATAATTACAAAGATGGCTTCAATTTCTGTAAAAAGTGATTAAAAACGAAGAATTGCTAAGAATACTTCAACGTTCTGATATATTATCATTTATAACTACAGGTATAATAGTTAAAGAAATAACAGATAATATTAATACACAGAAGAATTAATATTGACCAGTGAACAAATCGGAGCTACACGTAGACAAATCAGTATGAAAAAATAACTTTGCCATAAAAATTAGAATGAAAAAAAAGTCAACATTCTACCCACAGACAGTTTATATTTGCAAACAAGGTCATTGTAACAACCATAGAATTTGTAAAATATTTCATATCAAGGTCAAGTGTTTTAATGCCTAATCTAAGCGTTATCAGTGAACTTGCATAGACTGTGATTTTTTTTTTTTCAAAAGGTGATATTTGCATGTTTTCTATGAAACCAAGTTTTGCACTTCAAGAAATTATCAATACTTCGATCATTTCCTGAGATCACAAATTTAACGCTTCCTTCATCTTATCGCGTTTGTTCTAATGTCGTGAATTCAGGAGTTGCATGATCACTTCGCGGGTTCGAATCCCCCTTCGGCACGTGGAGATCGGTCGATCCTTCGGATGAGACCGTATTAACCGACGCAAGTGTCGCAGTAGGTGCTGGAACGATAAAGATCCCTCACTGCTCAATGGCCCTAAGTGTCAATTAAGTATAGGTCTAAATTTGCAGCTCTCCATCGGCAAGTGGTGGCGTCTCCATATGAATGAAAAATTCTCAAGAGGGACGTTAAACAAACAAACATCTAATCGCTTGACAGAAGACGAGTATGGTCTTAAATATCAATTATCAAGCTCAAGCAACTGTGCTGCATCTAAAATTGTTATCTTCCTTATCAAATCAATAGAACAAACACATTACCTGTACAGTAAAGCGTGTCATTCGGTCGAGACTGTCTAGCAAATTGATGACTATCTTGTCCGATTGTTTCGGATACAAATTTCTAGTAATAAAAGGTCTTACTGTGAAGCATGGAGGAGGTATGGTATCCACCAGACATAAAAACTTGTCAGTCTCCAAAATTTTGCTGTGTAAAACATGACGAAGACTTATTAGATATTTTCTGCGAGGATTGTAAAGTGGTATTGTACTTGACATGTATAAAGGCAAATCACAGAGACCACAACTGGGACTTTATTAAGAAAATAGCTCACCGAATACATGGAAACATTGAATCGGAGTTTAAAGAAATTCGAGATCATCGCTTAAATGCACTCGAAAAAGATTTGAGCTCGGTTCATCAACTGGAGGAAAGAAATTCGGCAACCTTCAGAAGTCAAGAAGAAAAAATTCAAATTCAGTTTGATTTAATTGTTCAAACACTATCCAATGTTAGGGACAAATTATTGTACTGTTTAAAAAATCATTGGACGAAAAAGAATGAATTTCTGGTAAATATGAAGGGGCGTAAAAGGCAGAGAGAGATGATTGACAAAACAATGTCTTTCATAGAAGAGAGTAATCTGAGTGATTCCCATCTTGTTGAAACCTACACACAATTACAAAGCCTACTGAAATATGAAAAATACGAGTTTTCTGATAATGACTTTTCGATTCGTTTTCTTCCGGGAGAACTGGATGAGTGTTCTTTTGAGAAAATGATTGGGCATTTAAAGAACGTTGACGACTTCACATTTAATTCCATATCTAGTTTTAAACTGGGAGAATCTCAAATCGATTCAATTCATTCCTCAACGAAAATACAGCATGGCTTTATGAAGAGCAACAGTGCTTGCTTGTTGACAAGAAAGGAATACTACAGGACAATAGGCAAATGGACTGTGAATTTGGAGATTTTACAGTCTGCTCCAATGGTATTATTTATATTACAGACTTGGACTCTAAAAGCATCAGATTATTAACATCATCAGGTGAAGACAGACTCGTCTTAGAAACGGAACCTCTGATTTGCCGGTCTCTCGTCGTCAGACTGCTCATAACACTTTGTGAAGATGACGACCCTTACAACCCAGATAGCACGTGTAGACGATTGGTCAGAAGCATAACTTTAAGTGTAAGGAAGGTAAAAGAAATTGAATTCGATGCCAAATACAACAGACTATTTACATTTCCCACTAGAGTTATACAAAACAAAAACACAGATATATGCGTTATCGACATGAAAGAGTGTGATGTTGGAGAGGTTCACGTTTTATCCTCCAGTGGTGTGAGTAGATTTGGGTACCGTGGATGTGGTATTAACCAGAAGAATCCGTTTTGCCCGAGCGCATGTGTGTGTGATTCTGAGCACAATATTATAGTAACAGACATATACAACAGTCTTATCAATATTATTCACTCAGATGGAGAGCTTTTAAAAATTATTTACATGCAAGAGAATTTAGAACCTTCTTGCATGTCCATTTGTAAGGGAACTGCATGGATTGGAACCACAGGTGGTGAAGTAAAAGTTTACAGATACACTAAAACTCCGGAATCATCCGAATCACAGCTATAATTTCCGAATCAAACATTTATAACTTCAAAGTGTGACCAATTAGCTTGGTCACTTTGAAGAAGACCCTGATTTTGATCTAAAAATATGAAGATAACCTTTCAAATACACAGTGCATTTATTATGATATAATGTAAATTGAAAATTAAATCTGATAGAAAATATGTTTTACTGCATCATATGGTGGCATATTTCTGCCCTCTATACGCAAGTTATTTTTCCACAGATTATGTCAACATGCATGCAGCATAAATATGACAACATGCAAGATAAATACATTTATTATCAACTAGGAATTTGATATTTTTTTAAATTATCAAATATCGCCCAGATGTGACTTCCACCATGCCAGTCGCAACTTATTTATGTTAACATGCGAGATAAATATGTTGATATGCAACATATATATGACAACATGCAACTTAATTATATGTTGGATTGCAACTTATTTATGTTGACATTCAACTTATTTATGTTAACAAGCGAGATAAATATGTTGACATGATGAAATATCATAAAAGCTATAGGAAAATTAATGAAACGTTTGCAGAAAAGTAAAAATGAATTTTTCCCCTCAAAATTTGCGGAGATGTCCCTACACATTACGTTCCTCAATTTACCCGTTGCGATGAGTTTAACCCGGATTATTGATACATGGATGTGTTGGAAATATTCAAACAGCAACAGCCGTTCAGGGTAACTTAGTCGGAAGAGCGCTCGCTCCGTGATACGGATGTCGTGAGTTCGAATCACGGCCGCGACTGACCGAAGTCGATAAAAAAAAATGGGTTGTAACTGTTCCTTCACCATGCGTTTGGCACTTTGAAGTGAAAGTTGCGGGTCCTTCGGATAAGACCTTAAAAACCGAGGTCCCGTGTCACGGCAGGCGTTGGCACGATAAAGATACTTCACTGCTCAATGGCCCTGAATGCCGAGTAAAGGTCAAAATTTGAAGCACTTCACCGGTATATGGTGACTTCTCTATATGAGTGAAAAATTCTCGAATGGGACGTAATTAAAACAACATACAATCAATCGATCAATCATACAACAACATGCATCTAAATCTGAAAATTTACTTATTAAATCTACAGGATAAGACTATACTACAGGAAAAGTCTATACTCAGAAAAAGCCCCCCCCCCCCGCCCCTTTCGTTCTACGGGCCTGCAAATGCGATGTGATAAAAACCTTCTCCATGTTTAATATAATTATATTAAGCAGTGCTTAAAATTCTAAAATGTGATATAAATAGTGCTCCAAGTGTCAAATGTTGAGTTGAAAAAATAATATTTGTAAATAATGAACATGCTATCTACATATTAAATTGCATTTACTGTGCAGTATTGTTTCCATTTAAAATTTTAAATGAAATATTTTAAAAATAAAACTTGTTCCGTGCCTTCAATTATAGTTACTATTTAATCAATAAAACTGTGCTTTGCACAATTTTATCAGGAAAAAAATGTATTTAATTTTAACTAAGTTGCTAAATCAAAGTAACACAGGTAAACTCTACCTGGACCCCTTAAAGGGCCTCTTAATTGAGTGTGATAATTAAATAGTTGATTTAGCGAGTAGATATTCGGGGAATAAACCATGGGGTATATCCTTCGCATTCGTTACACCTGACAGGTACCTGCACGAGACGACACGAAGCCGAGTTGATTATCTCGCATTACCTATGTTTACATTTTATTGCATTTTAAGTGTCTAAGTCCACTGATCTGTGCAACTGGTGTCACATTTTCTCCTGTCGTAGACGAACGAACGCTTTGCTTACCTATACAGTAAAGTGGGTCATTCAGTCGGGACTGTCTACATGTAGTAATAATCGATAAGTATCTTGTCTGAATGCTGTGTTGTTGGAGGGTAACAGATTCCTAGTAACTAAAGGACATACCGTGAAACATGGCGGACGTATGGTATCTACCAGATATGAAAACTTGTCAGTTTCCTAAAGGTCTTTGTCATGAACATAACAAAAACTTTTTAGATATGTTCTGCGAGGATTGTAAAGTGACATTGTGTTTGTCATGTGCAAAAGCGAATCACAAGGACCACAACTGGGACTCTATTAGGAACATAGCTAACCGAATACATGACAACATTGAATCGGAGTTTAAAGAAATTCGAGACCATCACTTAAAAGCACTAGAAGAAGATTTGAGCGCAGTTCATGAACTGGAGGAAGAAGAAAAACTTCAAAATCAGTTTGATTTAATTGTGCAAACATTATCCAACGTTAAGGACAAATTATTGAGCTGTTTGAAAAATCATTGGACGAAAAAGAAAGAATATCTAGAAAACACGAAGGGGCGTATCGAAAAGCAGAGAGAGAAAATCAGCAAAACAATGTGTTTCATTAAAGAGAGCAATTTGAGTGATTCAAATCTTGTTGAAATATACATACAATTACAAAACCTACTGAAACAAGAAAAATATGAGTTTTCTAATAATGCCTTTTCGATTCGTTTTCTTCCGGGAGAACTGGAGGAGTTTTCTTTAGAGAAAATGATTGGGGTTTCAAAGGACGTTGATGACTTCAAATTTGATATTATTTCTAGTTTTAAACTGGAAAAATCTCAAATCGAACAAATTCATTCTCTAACCGAAAATACAGCATGGCTTTATGAAGAGTCACGATGCTTGCTTGTTGATCAGAACGGAACATCACAGGACAACAAGCAAGTGGACTGTGAATTTGGAGATTTTACGGTCTGTTCCTATGGTAATATTTATTTTACAGACTTAGACTCCAAAAGCATCAGATTATTGACATCATCGGGTGAAGAGAGACTCGTCTTAGAAACGGAACCTCTGATTCCAACAGGAATTTGCTGGTCTGTCGTTGGAGGATTGCTCATAACACTTTGTGGAGATGACGATCCTTATAACCCAGATAGCACGTGTAGGCGATTGGTCAGAAGCATAACTTTAAGTGGAAGGAAGGTAAAAGAAATTGAATTCGATGCCAAAAACAACAGACTATTTACATTTCCCACTAGAGTTATACAAAACAAAAACACAGATATATGCGTTATCGACATGAAAGAGTGTGATGTTGGAGAGGTTCATATTTTATCTTCCAGTGGTGTGAGTAGATTTGTGTACCGTGGATGTGGTATTAACCAGAAGAATCCGTTTTGCCCGAGCGCATGTGTGTGTGATTCCGAGCACAATATTATAGTAACAGACATATACAACAGTCTTATCCATATTATTCACTCAGATGGAGAGCTTTTAAAAATTATTTACATGCAAGAGAATTTAGAACCTTCTTGCATGTCCATTTGTAAGGAATTACATGGATTGGGACCACAGGTGGTAAAGTAAAAGTTTACAGATACAGTAACACTCCGGAATCATCTGAATCGCAGCTATAATTTCCGAATCAAACATTTATAACTTCAAAGTGTGACCAATTAGCTTGGTCACTTTGACGAAAACATTGATTTTGATCCAAAAATATGAAGATAACCTTTCAAATACACAGTGCATTTATTTATGATATAATGTAAATTGAAAATTAAATATTATAGAAAATATTTTTACTGCATCATATGGTGGCATACCCCTGTACGCAAGTTTTTTTCCCCACAGATTATGTCAACATGCATGCAACATAAATATGACAACATGCAAGATAAATACATTTATTATCAACTAGGAATTTGATATTTTTTTAAATTATCAAATATCGCCCAGATGTGACTTCCACCATGCCAGTCGCAACTTATTTATGTTAACATGCGAGATAAATATGTTAATATGCACCATATATGTCAACATGCAACTTAATTATATGTTGGATTGCAACTTATTTATGTTGACATTCAACTTATTTATGTTAACAAGCGAGATAAATATGTTGACGTGATCAAGTATCATAAAAGCTATAGGAAAATTAATGAAACGTTTGCAGAAAAGTAAAAATGATTCCCCCCCCCCCCCCGAATTTGCGGAAATGTCCCTACGCACTACGTTCCTCAATTTACCCGTTGCGATGAGTTTAACCCGGGTTATTGATACATGGATGTGTTGGAAATATTCAAACAGCAACAGCCGTTCAGGGTAGCTCAGTCGGTAGAGCGCTCGCTCCGTGATAGGGAGGTCGTGAGTTCGAATCATGGCCGCGACTGACCGAAGTCGATAAAAAATGGGTAGCAACTGTTCCTTCACCATGCGTTTGGCATTTTGAAGTGAAAGTTGTGGGTCCTTCGGATAAGACCTTAAAAAACCGAGGCCCCGAGGCGTTGGCACGATAAAGATCCCTCACTGCTCAATGGCCCTGAGTGCTGAGTGAAGTTAAAATTTGAAGCACTTCACCGGTATATGAGTAAAAAATTCTCGAATGGGACGTAAAACAACATACAATCAATCAATCAATCAATCAAACAGCAACAAACAGCAACATTAGTCCTAAACAAATATATTAGAGCACCAGCAGTAGTACGAAAGAGTAACAACTGACCTTGAATTTCTGTGTGAAGAATATGAAAAAAAAATATATATAAACGAAGTTTCCAGGATTGAATTTTTGAGGACCTTTGGGTACAAATTTGGTGCTCAAATAATCATAGATGTTTTGGTACGAATATCATACCCGAGACGGTTGTGTTAGTAACTTTCATTCAAGCATATAAATATTAACTATATTGTACATTTTATGCAGTAGTATGTAGAGAGTTGTTTTACAAATGTGCATAATTATTTTGCATTTCTACATACATAAATTGCATGTCGACATAAATAAGTTGCAAGTCAACATAGATAAGTTGCATGTTGGTATGAATTAATATGTTGCATGTTAACATATTTATCTCACATGCAAAAATAAATAAGTTGCGTCTAGCATGCTGGAAATCATATCTGGGCGATATTTGATAATTTTGGAAAAATTTCCAAATTCCTAGTTGATTACATTTATTTTCCATGTTGACATTTTATATATGATAATGTTGCATGTTGACATAGTTATCTTGCATGTTGCCATGATCTATTGAAAAATAACTTGCATACGGGGGGGGTGGGGGGGGAGATCCCCCCACCATTATCATTTGATGAAAATGAGCTTTATTTTCTGACTGTGAATTTATTATGGCCCTTCAAATCAAGTTTATACGTGAAAATCTTTTCTTTTTTCAGTTTGAACAATAGAAGTTAGAGAAGATAGAGCACATGTGTCAAGCAAAATAAAAACGAAAGAAAATCTGTTTTATTAACATCTTTATTATTAACAACTCTCTCTCTCTCCCCCCCTCTCTCTCTCCCTACATTTTTAATTAAAATACTGAGTATCTCGAAAAGCATTTTTTTAATATACTAGTTTACTTGACTCATTTTGATTATACCTATCCATGACAATCTAACGGCAGGACATTTTAAAACTGCACGAATGATGAGGTCTAGTCTAGAACATTTAAGCAGCATTATCTTGAATGTCAATAAATAGTAAAGATAATTCTTAACACAAGATGACAAATTCAAAGTAACTCCTCTGCCAAGCTGCTGTCTGTGCACCATATGTTGATCCGGTGAAGTAACCACTGAACTACAAATTTAAACGACTCGACTCAGGGTTTTTTTTTTTTTAATTCTAAGATTCTCAGATTAAGCAATAGTTGACCACGTTGTACTCATTATATAGGAATCTTTACACTTAGTAATGCTGACCAAAGGATAGGGCATTATCTAAATAAACCTCCAAGCATAATGGAAAAAAAATGTATAATATTTTTTTAAAATGAAAAAAAAATCTACCGTTTATATTTGATATATGCATGTAATTAAGGATTCAATCGTGGTCATGATTACAATTTTGACTTGCTTCAAGGAGATACACATCAACTCTTTGGTACATGGTGTAGTCTCTCAATATGTGCGATTTAACGACAAGTTTCCATTCCTTTCTTAACATCTTATATTATTGTGGGTGAATTGTAGAACTGTACAAGTTTTACTCTATTTAATATTAACAAAATGAAGTCTTGTATAGCACGTTTCTTATATGAATAAATATAATTCACGAAAAAGTGTGGGGGGTGATTAGTTAATTACAGAGTATGAAAAAAAAAATACTTGTGGTACGTTAAATTCTTTATGATATTTTTCAATAAAAATAAGTAAATATGCATTTTAAAAGACTATTCTGCAATTAGATTTTATAAATGGATAAATATTTATGCTAAACGTCCTTGCTTAGAAAAAAGGATTTAATAATTATGAATTTTCTTGAATTTTTTTTTAATAAAAATGTTTTAATAAGCATCATTTTGATTGATTGATCGGTGTTTTTTTTTCGTCCTGTTCGAGAATTTTTTCACTCATAGAGAGACGTCACCATATACCGGTGAAGGGCTTCAAATTTAGACCTTTACTCGGCACTCAGGGTCATTGAGCAGTGAGGGTTCTTTATCATGCCAATGCTTACCGTGACACGTCCGGGGCATCGGTTTTTAAGGTCTCATTCGAAGGACCCGCAACTTTCACTTCAAAGTGCCGAGCGCTCGGCGAAGGAACAGTTGCTACCTATTTTTTTTTTTTTTTATCGACTTAGGTCAGTCGCGGCCTTGATTCGAACACACGACCTTCCGATCACGGCATCATTTTGAAAATCTCAAAATCCAGTACGTGCAGTGTGAAGTATAAACATGGCTTTCTTAACTTTATTCTGTCAGTGCAAGTGGAGTAAAAAGAATTACTCAGTTCAACAATAATTTTAAAAAATCAACATTCTGCTTTTCTAATTCAATTAAAAATATATGGGGTCAAAATTATCTTGAATATAGGTGTAATTAATGTAAGCACGAAAAAAATACAAATTACAGATTTTTTTTTTTCAATTTCGAGTAGAATGAATAAAGCTAAACTACAAAATCGACATGATATTTTTCTACTCTAAAATATGATTTGTACATCCTTAATATGTGAAAAATCAATGTTCAAAATTTCAATATTACCGATAAAAAACTGTTGAAGTAACATATTGATCACACAAACTTTGCACTATCCATGCATGTATAACAAAGCATGAAAAAAAATATCAATTACAAAAATACATAGCATTGAATTTTCCTAAATTAATTCAAAATTAGTTGCGCACATCTATCATGTGTAAATAATAACTGTAAAAAAAATTTCAATAACGTGAAATCAAACTTCTTTCAGATATAAAATACATATTAAGTATCTCCTTCATGACTGTGACAGACTGACAAATAGTCCAATCCACATTTTGCAAAAGTTGTTTCCCTTTGCAGGGTCAAGCAAAAGGTCAAAAGGGAAAAGAGCAATGTTTCTCTTCTTTACACTACCAAACATATGGATACACTGTGAGAAATTCACTATGATGAAAAATTTTTCTTTCAATGTATTGCCAGTCCCATCCTGGGGCAATCAAAACACAAGATTCAATAATCATTTGTTAAATGACAAAGTTAAAAAGTTTCAAAGGCCACTGTGGGAATTCTACCCCCCCCCCCCTAAAGATGGGGGCCAAGGGACATTACTTTTGTAAAGTGTGGATTCAGCTAACGAGCGGTTACTATTGACATGCTCTCATTGTTGGCGACACAGGTGAAATCATGACATCTCAACTGAATTGTTTATTTTTACTTACACTTTTACAATAAATTATTCTTTTTCTACGACATGGAGGAAGCAATAATTCAAGTATAGGTTAGAAGAAAATATAATTCGTGGCTTATTTAGATTTGTTCTCGTATTTCAAAATCAGGATTTTGGATTCCTTCATGATCGAGTTGTTAGACTGCAGGCGGAACACCTCCAGGCGTTACCTAATATAAAAGGCTATACGTAGGTCCTTATTCTGTTGGTCGCGCATCAGATTCTTTGTTATCGGTATTCTCTACCGATATGGGATCTTCAAACATCATATGGAAATGACGAACCAATGTACCCCCAGCAAAGGATCCGATGATGCCACCAATGACACCTGCAATAAAATTGCCTATTCCTGGTACCACTGAACCAAGAGCTGCACCAATTTCTGCTCCAACGGCAACCGCCCACTTCGCTCCAAGAACTCCACCTGCAATTTCTCCAGGTTTAATTTGTGTTTCTTTTCCAAATGTTCCTTCACTGATGACTGACAGTGTTATATTCCGTACATCTATTACAATGCCTATCGCAGTAACAGATGCTGCCAATTTGTTTCGTTTCATCCACGTCACAATAGCACATTCTTTTCTAAATGTGTCAGCGTTAACTTCTCTGATGGGCACAATGTGTTTATTAAACTTGTCCAGATTTTCCTTGCCTTTGATTCCCAAATTGAGCTTGTCAGGATGATCTTTTAATAATTCCGTATTTGTAATAAGGTACGGCTTCCCTTGTCCACGCATTGGCTGCTTTTCCTTAGAACCAAATTGAGGTATAGATTCTTCTCTAATTTTATCATAGGCCGCTTTCTGAACCTTTATTTCGGCAATTCTTGCTTCCCCCTTGCACCCTTTATTCTCATACTGATCGAGCTGAGTGGTCAATCGTTTCCGTAACCTACTTTTCTGAAGTATGCACCTTACTCCTCTTTTTTATTTTGAGAAGGAGGTTTTTGGATTCCATGGGGTTCTCGAATTCCTCTTTCGACATTTTTCGAAAAACGTACCTGTACTTCTTACTAGCTCCGTGAGCAGCAGGAGCTGCAATAGGCAATGCATCGTGTGTTAAAAAATTCTCAACTTTAACGTAGAATTTTTCATTGCTATCATCTGTATTGGTAACTTCAATGATCTCTAAGTGTTCCATGGTACCTCATTGAATCAAGTGCTAACTGAAAGAATTGCATTATATCATGTTATGTTTTTCTATAAGTCAAAATATTTTTTATTGTGTTATACGTCGGTATTTTAGTTTCAAAATTATATAGAAAAAAATAATTAACAATTACATTATTATCTTGCTTTTGAAGTGGAAAAACCGGTGTCTTCCCACTTAGCCAAAATTCTGAAATTTATACAGGTGACTGGTTTTGGCTAGGTGGGAATGGTGTACAGGTAAGGGGAGGGAGAGAACAAATGAAATTAGTTACAGGTGACCTATAGTCTGTTTTAGATTGCACGGAAAAGGATTAAAAATTTTAAAAAATGATGAATTCCGATGAAGGGTAAATGAAATTAATATTTTAAATAAAGTGTCATTCTTAAAATTCTATATCTTTAAAAAATATTATCATTAGTATTGATTTCATGATTTATTTTTTTAATTTGATAAATGGTAAATGATAATTATTGATACTTTTTGTCTTCCTTTTTTCTTTTTTAAAAAAAAATTTCTATTTTATTTCAGTTTCATAATCTTAATGATTTGATGATATTTAAACTTATTAAAATGTTTAGTGCCACTTCTATTAAAATATGCATCACGGATATTTGAAAATACATGTTAAGTGGAAATGAGAATAATACTAATAATTAAAACAAAATATCACATTAACTGCAAAAAGAATGGTATTAAATTATAATGATATGTATACAAATGTATTCATTTTAAAATAAATATCCTACTGATAAATTATGCTTATATTGGATTATTTTGTTTGAAAAATATGCAACAGCTTTATAAATTCTCTAATAAACATTCTTTTTCTAAAAATCTTAGTTTTTAAGGAGAATTATGTTTGGTATATTAATATATTCTATATTAAACTTATAATTTTGTGTATATTAAGGCAGGCACACCCCCAACCCCATCCCCACCCAAAACCCTTAATTTAGGTCATGCAGCACGGAATTTATCATTTCGATTTCAAATTAGTGTAAAGTCGTTCAAAACATTTAAATACATAGTTAAAATGTAAAGTTTAAACTTAGCTTTAACTGTATACATGTACATGTAGTAAAAGATAAATTTAAACTTTTTATGCAAGACATGTTCATGTGCGAGAGAGAATTACCAGCCCCCCCCCCCCCCCCCATCAAAACTATGTTTCAAGACTTCGTTATTGATACTAAATGAGCAAACTTGTTAAGAATACGAGTACTAACATTTATTATTTTAAATATCAGGCTAAGCACACGCCTTTACCAGGCACGCACACGTAGCACCGTTTTTTTTAATGGGGGAAGCCGGAAAATATAATTAACAACTGTCCTGAAAAAAGGTGAAAAATCATCGAGGAGGGGGAAAGAGGGGAAGGGTGGCCAAAGACGAAAAACATATTTTGTTTGAGGGGATCTAATTTTTCCGACATTAATTTTTTTCGAACAATGGGAGGACTTCACTAGAATACAAAAAGTGGGGGGTCAGACTTTCAAATACCATTTTATACGAAATGAACAGTAAAATATTAGGTTTAAAAGAAAAGGGACACCCCCACCACACACCACACGTTTTACTGATCTGTTTCACTCATCTTGGACCTACAGATGGAAACTTAAACTGAAGAACGCAGATTTTGACTGTTTTATTAGTACTGCAGATGGAAAAATATGAACAATGGCAAAAAATTCCTATTTCCGCAAAATTCGGGCTGCAACATATACTCTGTTGCTTTCGGGTGGGTGGGGATGGTGTGTGTGATTTGTGTGTGTGCGTGAGGGAAGGGTGGCCCGGGGTTGGGGTTTAGTATAATATATCATAGGCGTCGGAACCGGGGGGCTGGGGGGAGGGGCTTAGCCCCCTCCCACTTTTTTTGCAAAGATAGACCTAGAATAGGTATTGAATTGAACATTGGGGCGTAGGTTTAGCCCCCCCCCCCCACACACACACACACTTTCAAGAGGCACAGGTTGCAGTGTAGTCAAAGAAGGGTAAGTGTTAGGGCACAGGTTGCAGTGTAGTCACAATCTCTACCCAGAGTTATCGTTCCCGCTACACTCCACTTATACCTCTGTCAACGTCTAAAAAAGTAGTACGGAAGGCGGAGACGCGTGTCCTTTATCACAGGAAGATTAACAAGCGTATTACCATCACTTTTCTGTGTATGTGTCAATGCTGCAACTAAACCATGTTGATATTTGTCGGCAATCCGTTTAAATAATTAAAATTTCCACGTTCTCCATATCTGTCTACATGAGTGATGCAATATTCCGCCGAGAAATAATCCCATGTAAGATACGGTGATACAGATATATCTCTTTCTAATTTTCATACATAAACTTTTCTTTAAATTTTAAAGCTAAAATATATAACTTTAAAATTCATAATTTGTTATGCAATAGTTTAGAGTAAGTTTTGCCAAGAATCTTGGCATTTAGACGTTGACAGAGGTGTTGTAGCGAAGCGTAATACGCCCTCTGGTGAGAGATTGGTGTAGTCAAAGAAGGGTAAGTGTTAGGGTTTGGGAAAAAAATTGGTACTGAAAGAAGTTTGATCCCCCCTCCCACCACGAAATAGGATTTTCGCATCTGGATAATTACTATTTTTCCTTTTTTTTTTTTTTGCTTGTCAAGTTTTTTGCAGGTTCGAGTTTTTTTCTCTTTCAATTAGCCTCCCCCCTTTCAATTAATTTGCTTCCGACGCCAATGTTATTACGCTCTGACATAAAATCAAAGACTATATATATTTGTTACTAAGCGTGTTCATTATACATGATACTAAAAAGTGACTATACATATAAACGCCTACCTGATACAAGCTTGTGATATTAAAGATATTCATTTTGCATACGGTACATAAACGTAAAAAGACGGTCTTTAAATCAACAGAACAGAAATATACATAATTGTCAACAATTTCTTTTACATCAAGTACTTTCGTTTTGGCTTGACAATAAAAACTGTTCAAAGATTACAGAAATAAAAGAAATATATGTCATTAGTCGATAGTGATTTCATATGCTTTTGATTAAACTGTGTACTTTTCATAATTGTAAATGTTAATTTACATGGAAAATTAACTGATGTCTTACCCAAATGCTAAATGACACTCCAACATATAACCAAGACACATCGATCGATTTGTATAATTACTGTATTACGTGGTTCTTTATTTTTTCCTTTGTAATGATTTGTATTCTAACATAGGATTCAATTAAAACTCTATAGTTATACAGCCTGTATTTCTATGGTAGAGTGTGTTGACTCGTAAAAATGCATGTTTCCCTGTCTCTGATATGATATGAATACCATTGCATGGATGCATTTTTTTTTTTATTTTGCAAACTTTAAACTTATAACGAAATTTATTACACCTAAATTATCGCCTTTGACAAATGCATGCATAATATTTAACTAAGTTGATGCCCAAAATCACTCCCTCAAGATCGGTTTACAATTAATTTAATTGACAAGGTACAAAAACTCAAGAATAATCTCTAAATGTAATTCCTAGGAATTAATCCATGTTTATCATATATTTTCACATATTCATTTATAAATAAATATAACTAGCAAATGGTCAAAATTCTAATCAATAAAAGCAAACATGGCTATTCTGAAAAAGGGATTTAAAAATCTTTAAATGCTGCCAAGATTCACAGATTACATGACTTATTTAGTTTTCTTATTTAATTTTTTTGGTTTTAATAGATTTGCACGGATAACTGGAGTTAATCACAATATATTTGTCTTTTTACTTTTTCCCTACATTATAAAACACATTTATGTATTTATATTTCATGATAAGAATTAAGACAAATAGATCTTGACGAGCTGAGATGATCGGGTGCAAGGGAAATATTTGACATCGGGATCGAAGTTCGTGTCACCCTTTGTTAGTCCGCCATTACCGGCTTCGACAACGTGATTTATACGATTTTTAACGATGGCGTACAAAGGAGGACAAAAAGTGCAGAAGGTTATGGTGCAGCCTATTGTATCCTTTTATATGATCTGCAAATTTCTACATATTTGTGCTTTGGTGAAAATACAACAGAAATTTGTGTTTTTAAACATTGTCCGTAGGCACTGGCCTGGTAAATCGATACGAAAACCCGTACCCACGCTATGTGTTAATTAGTAAAATACTGGCCAGGCGTTATTCTAAGCCATTGTGCATGACAAACTTTGTGTATTGTATGATCATACTGATGGGGTTTTTGAGGTAGAACTGTAGAAATGAAAGTCCATCATTGATTTAGGTCTGTTCGGGTGCGTCGGTTTACCCAAATGGACCCAAAGGGAAATCAAATGGAATTCAAATGGAATATTAAATATGTATTATCGTTTTATCATTAGTTGTTACTTATTTAAAATGATGAAAATAATTAACTTACAAATGGAGAATGAAATGTTGACAGTGCGACCGTTAGGGCAAGCGCAGATATTTATTCAGGTTTAATTTAGATCTGGCTCATTCGTCAAATTGCACGTGACATTTGGTGCGTATAGACTCTGACGTTACAATGACGTCGTATTAAAACTGCATTACCAAACGGAAGCCTGAACATTGTTGACTTTAATGAAGAACATTTTATTTAAAAAGTGTTCTGTTTTTTGATTTATATCTCTGTATATATCAAAATATTACTGTGTTTTCGTAACATTCTTTTACTACTTTCACAATAAAACAATATGTACAAACCATGTTTAAAGCACGTTGGAGACTTGGACTGAATTGTCTGGCCACCTAAAATGGCCATGTGAATATGCAAAATTTTCTGCGGTCCCAATTTCAGGCCTAGAAGGGCTATTAACAACAGTTTCAGTGTTGTGATTAACTTTTAAAACCTTAGGGGCCATGTGGGCTCCTAACTTTTCAAATTTTACGGGCCCACAATGTGATCCACGGGCCCACATTATATGTTAATTAAAAATAACAACAAAAATCCTAAATTTTTCTAATTGATTTTTTTTAAATTCGTAGTATATGAATTTTTGTCACATTTTCTCTTTTCTAAAAACTTTGGTTCGATATGTTCATTTTATTTTGTAGTGTTTAACCTTATACAACTGAAGCTTCTATGGTTAACAAGAGGGCATATTAAATTACATACAACCTGTGATGAAGTTCAATACCGATCTTTTATTAATTGTGTACATTTGACACGGTAATTCAAATTCTATCTGTGAATAACTAGTCCGGAAAGAGTGTATGACAACCATAGCCGATTGTTACAATATTACTATTAGAACAATCTCAAACATCTGCTCTTGTATCATCAGATTGAACGGAGATTTAACTGCTTCAATAAATCACCATGTTTGATCTAAGTTACATACATGTTTGAATAATATGCTTGTAAGCAACACAAATAATCTAGGTTAATAGAGCGTTTTCTTAAAAACTGAAAGTACAAAAAATTTAAACTGAAATGTGATTATGTTACGGAAAAAAATCGTTTGCCATGTGGGCGACCAAATTTTTGATATCTAATCGCCCACAGCAAATTTTACTCGCATTTGCGAGTGGGTGAGTGGTTATCCACAACCCTGAGTTTTGGGGAATTTTTTATTTTGGAAGTAGTGGAAGAATATGTTAGTAACACATTATTGTAACATTTAGAGATGGCTGCTCAAATAAACGGAGAATGAAATCGAGAAACAGCACACTCTTTTGTGCACAATAAATTTACATTTTTTTCAATGGATGGCACTTTAGCTCTCTGGTCGTCCATCCCAATTTTTTCAGACCAGTGAGCTACACACCTGCAGCTATCAGCCTATCATAAGTTGATTATAATCCTGATAAAAAAGAAATCTCACTAGATCTATTTGCCTTCTTTAAATATTGTCACACCTATAAAAATACAGAAGGGAGGAATCTTAAAATAGGGGCTAATTTTGATTGGACTTAATGTTTACAGTTTCTAGGTAACTCACCTGGCGAAGCAAATAATATTCAGTGGATATACAGGTATTCAATTTTTATTTACTTTTGTCAGATCATCAGCTTAAGTAGCTGCAGAACTGTAGCGTTATGGTTTTATATTTTAATCTTTGACCATAAAGCTACAGATCCTGTACTACAAATATTGTGCAATTTACGGCGCAAGATTTTCTGCGTACTTTTGGGATGTATTTCGCCACTCTTCAGCATTGGTCAATCAATGATCTTTCATTCCCTTATTCTAGACATATTCTATAACCAGCCTGTATATTTTATTCATCTCCTAACCCTTTATAGTTGTCTCTACTGACCAATAAACTCCTTGTTGTGAATTTGTTGTCGGATGGCATAAAATTCACAACAATCGTGTTTATAGATCTGTAGAGACTACTAGAAAGGGTTAGGAGATGGATAAAATATATATATTGGTTATAAAATATGTCTAGAATTAGGGAATAAAAGGTAGTTGATTGATCAATGCTGGAAAGTGGCAAAATACATCCCCAAAGTGCGCAGAAAATCTTGCACTGTAAATTGCACAATATTTGCAATATCTCTGTAGTGTTATTGTCAAAGTCTAAAATATAAAACCATAACACTACAGTTCTGTAGCTATAGCTTAAGAAAACTAATGAGTCTATAAGTTCTTTGTAGGTAGTTCATTATTCATAGCTCATTTTATATTAATAATTGTACAAACCTGACGAGTAAAACTGAATTAATTGCAGCTTGAGAGTATGTACCTGGATCAGTTCTAACATTTAACATATTGAACTCAAGATTGTGGAAAACACGGTGAGGAAAAATCATGTTGTGCAGAAACAGTTTCTTCACTCCCAAGTTGTAGGGTCGAAAAATCTTTAAAGTGTTCATATAATATCAATTGTTATCACTTAATTGATATGTACTACATGTTTATCACTTGATATATTTTTCTTTAACATATTTTTCTTTAACATTGACTAGAATCTGATTTTCAGATATCTACAGAATGTAAGTATTTTCTTTTTAATGCCCCTGTAATCGAAAATTCAGGGGTATATAGTTTTTGTCCTGTCAGTCTATCTGTCAAGCTGTCTGTCCCCTAAAACTTTAATATTGCCCAAAACTATTGGTTTGTTTTGTTGGAGCTGTGACTTTTATATTGTACTTGTGTATTCCTTGTGACAGGACATTCTTTTGGTTACCATCATATTTGACGTTTTGACCTTGACCTTAAAGTTTGACCTAGTTTTTCAAAATTTTACCAAACTTTAACCTTCGCCATAACTTTTGAACAGTTGGTGCTAGGGCTTTCATATTTCACATGTGCATTCCTTGTGACAAGACCTTCCTTTGTGTACCATCTTTTTGGACCTTTTGACCTTGGAGTTTAACTTACTTCTGAAAAAAAAACGTTAACCTTGCCCATAACTTTTGAAAAGTTGTTGCTAGGGCTTTGATATTTTACAGGTATTTTCCTCTAGACAAGACCTTAATATGGGTACCAACATTTTTGATCTATTGACCTGGAGGTTGACTTGCATTTGAGAAAGTTTAACCTTCGCCATAATCTACCATACAGAGGCATCAGTGTTTCTTGAACATATCTTGTTTAATTCATATATTGACTCCTTTTCAGTTGAGATCATGGCTTCGGGGTCATGAAACTTAGACCAGCTCACTTTTAATCTCAGTCTCACTGTTACAAAAGGAATTAATAGTGGAAAAGTGAGACTGAGATCAAAAGTGAGCTCATCTAAGTTTTATGGCCCCGAGCCTGGTGTAGTATCCAATAATTTCAATTGACATAATATGTTTGTTGCATTTAAATAACCAAGTAGTTTTCAATTACATGAATTAGTTTATTGATTTATTCCAGTATTGGTTTTCTTTTGTATATTATTATTATTTTTTTTTTTTTACAGAGATCACGGATATCAGTGTGGTTATATGAACAGACAAATCTCAGAATCGAGGGCTGTATTGTGGTAAGGTCAAAGTTCAGATTTCTTAGAGGTAATAAGAAATGGGAGATCCTATATCAATCTTAGTGTGCTGAAACATTTTCCCTAAGCAAAATGGAGTGAAATGATGAAATATGTTTCAGAAGCATGGCTAAGTTTTGGGGATTTATGACTGTATTTATACACTGTACTTCCTGGACTGTGTGATGATTTGCAAAAATAAGAATGCTGTTAATGCTAGAATCACCATGTGTTCCATCATTTAAACAATAAAATGCTTTCTTTGTTAGCATGGGAATTAATGTTGCTGCTGTTACAGAAAAAATACATAACCCAGGAAAGCAGGTTATGTATATTTTTTCTGCAATTATAGCTGCAATGTTAATTCCCATATGAACAAATGAAGAAAGAAATTTTATTGTTTATATTTATATCTATATAAATAATCATCTAAAGTAGGTTGAAGTAGGTTAAATATTGTATTATTGAAATGTACATCATTGTATGTTTCATTGATGGAAGAGCTACTGCTCAAGAAACCAGTACAGGTGGTATGCTAATTATAAGTGGCATTTACTGACTGATAAATGGCAATGGTTTTCTTAAGAAATGAAGGAGATAATATTCAGTGGATGTAAATATATATTACATATTAACCACAAAATATTTCTAAACTATTATAAGGAGTTTTTTCTTCTCAAGGTCACATTGTAAAATTTTGAAAACATTTTCCTTAAATTTATCAAAAACGTTTAAGTACATTAGCATCAGCATATTACATGTGTTTTCATGTGTGAGTTTAAAGACCCTTTTAAATTTGAATTAAAAGATTGTCACTGACATCAGTGAACCACTAATAGATAACGGTTCACTATAAAAGGATACTTTTCTTTAAATAAAAGGAAAGAAACTTTCTTGCTTATTGAAAAAAAAAACTCTGAAAAGAAACTCTCATGGTTATTGTGATATTTAAGAATGGAAAAAAGGGAAGATAAAACATTTTCAATTCTGATGTATACTCTAGTCTTTAGCTAGATGTAGTTTACTGGCTTCATTATTTCTTACACTGAATGTTAAGGTTTTATTGCAAGGGTCCCTCAAAATAATATATTTTGTACTCATACTTCAAAGATTGAAATATTCTATTATGAGAGTAAGACTGTAATTTGCTGGCTTTAACTGTATATCTATAGAGTTATTCTAATGAAAATGAACAAATTTAATACAGATGTCATCATTAATATGTACATGTACGTGTATAAAGTTGAGACTGAAAAGGATTTTAGAATTACTTTGATTTTGATATAACCTGGAAGATGAAGTTGTAATTATTTTTTTTAGGGATTTGATGAATACATGAATCTGGTTTTGGACGAGGCAGAGGAGGTTCATATGAAGACAAAGAACAGAAAAACATTAGGTGGGTGGATAGAAACAGACATTGTGTGTGTCTTTATACACAGTAACCTCCCTTGTTTATAGGGTGAATACTCTAAATACAAGTATCAAACCTATATTAATATTCTCAATTTCAACATGTGGATATATTTGCTGTTAAAATTAGAATTTTGTTACATTCTTAATGTTAATCACTGCAGTGGCCTTGACTCAATATTGCTTCATGAATGTATTTTCTTGAAACATGGAAAGTTTTAATGAATAAGTGAAGAAGTGGTGATAAAACTATTGTATATATTGAATTATCCATAAATATTTCCATTTCTATTTGTTATCTCGGTGATAACTCTTTGAAAGGTAGTTGAGTTGATTTCTTGATCATTCTACCGGAATGTAAATTTCGCCAAGCGAAAGGTCAGGAGCTAAGAAGGTTAATATGCATGTAATTCTCATGCGGCTGTCTTTGTGTTTGACGTCAGTGGGCAGGAACTATTGATATTGACATGTGAGGCCTCGTGTAATTTAAATCTATTAGTCTACATTTTTAAAATCTAAATATACAATTTTATAAGGAATCACTGTCTAGTTAGTAAAGTATGCTAGGGACATCAACGATAGTTGGAAATGTGGGATAATTTGCATAACGGGCTTTGCCCATTATGCATAAATTATCCCACGTTTCCAACTATCGTTGATGCTCTGGCATACTCTACTAACTAGACAGCAATTCCTTAAATATTTTTGCGAAATTTTCAAGGAAAGTGTCTTTCAGAACATCAACTATGATGACTGGAAATTGTTAACCATAAATCAGTTCCTGACTTAAGTACATTTTCCAAATTTTTATGAAAGAAATTACAAAGTATTGCACCACTTTATTGAAAATTAATCCTTTTAACCCAGTTTACTGTTTTGAGGAGAGAGAGAAAGTAATTAATCTCTGTTAAGGAACACATTGTTATCAAACATTTGTTTTGCAGGAAGAATCATGTTAAAGGGAGACAACATCACATTGATCCAGCAAGTTCAGTGATGGTGAATGGACGGAGAGAAATTGTGTGACAGTGCGAAAGTGTGTAGAACAATGATACTGTAGCCGAAATACAGTTTTCTATTATTTTTGGAAGCAGCAAACAAAAGATCTTACATTTTATTTGTTGTATATATGTGAAGATTTTAGTGTATTTGGAGAAATCTTTGAATCAGCTATTACTGTTTTTTTTTTTTTTTTTTTTTGTATAAAGATGAGAAATGGTTTTGTACATGGTTAAAAAGGGGAAATATTGAAGATGGATTTATGAATGACTCTCACATTATTAAGAATCAGCTACAATTGAATCGATAAATCTTTTCTGTTGTATTTCATTAGTCGTTGTCAATTTTTTCATGTTAAATCCTTCATCAGGATAGCTGAGTAAATTTACTGTTATCAGTTATAATGTCATGTTTCCTCATACAGAAATCATGAAACATAAAATTTTATACTGTAAAGAAGTCTTCTGTTTTGAGTTATATTTGAACATGTTTAATTTGGTGTCTAGCACATAGACACTCCTCATCTAATTTTGTAAATGACTAAATGATGTCTGTAAAGTCTACCCCTCCATAACATAAAAGTAGATTTTATAATACAAAGGTCTATTTTTAAGAAATAGGTATAATTTTTTAAACATCTATCGGGATATAACTACGGGATGGTCTTGTGATTGAATTCCAAAGCCCAGAGGACTTTATGGTAAATTTGATCACACACCAACCAATATTTATATCCGGACAGATGATTTAAAATGTTTCTTACATCAAATTTGTGATTTTTCATAATATATATTTGCCTGAGGATAATTTTTTACGCATGAAATATTTTTTTTCAAAATGGCACAAGTTTTATCCAATAAATGCATGACAACCCTTTATGACGTCACTGAGAAATTACGTTGAAAATTTATGATGTGAGAAACGCATTAATACAGATATATAGATATGCATTGCTTAAATAGTGTTATTTAAAAGAAAACATTTGCAAATATAAATATATATACCTTTATTTCGTCCTCTACAGAACTAGATGGGAAAAGCCTAACAGTAGTAGTGTGAGCACCGGACAGGCATGTCATTGATCCCATGTTCAACCTCGAGCTCAGCAAAGGCACAAACTTGTGGTCATTATACATAGCTTGGGGAAAAAAGATCTTGAGATATATGAGAATCCTCTAAATCAATTTGGAACATCACAGTTACAAGTGAAATGACTGGGTTTGGTAGTACTGTATTCTTTTATTGAAGTGAAGTTGTAGTTCAACAAATTGGGAAAAATAAGTGCCAGAATAAAACCCTATCCATGTCCATTGTTAAGATTATTAATACAAAGTATTCGGTAGGCACCTCATGATTTACCTGTAAAAATGATGAGTCTGTGAAAATGCAGTGTTCTTGAATTGTACAGAAAACTTGAATATGCGAGTCCATTCAATAAATTTTTTAATTAAGATTTCAGCACAACCCTTAATGGATATAAAAGAAAAATATATACATGTACACTATATTTTTTTTAAAATAGATCTTGTAATTTTGTAACTAGAGGTCATGCCTGTTCATCTCATTACATGTACATAGAATAGTGAGGAATTTTGTCATTTTTCATAGTCATATTGAATGTGCTGGCCACTACACTTGATATTTTTCCCTTTAAAATCTTACAGGGCAAAATAAAACCATTTCAAAATCTTGCAAGTATGAGGACCAAGTAAAACTATTTGGGAACTTTGCCCTTTACATACAGATATGTTAATAATAATTTATATAATAAAATTGACTGATTTGAGTAATAAAAGTTTAAGAAGCATTAATTGTCAATTTCACCTTACTTTCTATCAAAATACAAAACAGTGCCAAGTGGTTACTTTCATATTTAAAATGTAGGATCCCTTAAGAATGAAAAAAGCATGTGACATGGTGATGAGGGTATAGTACACATTTATATTGCAGCTAATTACCATATCAACGATCATTCTTATTTTAAATTGTTTAAAGAAAAAAGGGTGTGCAAAGCAAGGACAATTTCCCCATTCTGAGATAAAATTTTACTCAATTTTCAAAGTTCATGAAAAAAGTTATATTTTCTTAAAATTATATTTTCAGTAATGGCATCTTCAACATATATGATTCATTTATTTTGTGGAATGACTTATTAGTTTATAATTTGTTTTTAAAGTTGCCAATTAAGCATATTTAGTGGAAAATGGATATATTGGAGCCATAAAAAATGATTTTTGAATATGAATGGGTCAAGTCTCCTTTCTACATTAACGTTTACATGAGGGAAAACTTAAAGTACATGTGTATATATTAAATCTATGTTTCAAAAAATGGAGTCTGAACCAATATGAAAATCGAACATTTTTGAAAAAAAATTAATATTTCAACAAAGACTTTGTGGCTTAATCGTTAACACGTTTAGCCTAATGGCTAACCATACATGAGCTTTGGAGAGAGATCAAATCATGTGTGAACTTTTTATACGCCCGTCTTTAGATGGGACGTATTATGTTATGGCGTTCATGTCCGTCCGTCCGTTAGCTTTTTTCGTGTCCGGCTCATAACTTTAATACTATTAGGCCTAGGATTATCAAATTTTGTCAGCTGATACTTTTTGGGTAGAAGGTGTGTCGCACATTGAAAGTAGGTCTCTCTGACCTTTAATTAAGATGTTATGGCCAAATATGGAAAATCCTGTCCGGCTCATAACTAGAGAACTATTAGACTTGAATCATCAAACTTGGCCAATTTATGCATCTTAGGTAGAATGTGTGTCGTGACCTATTTCAAGGTCACTGTGACCTTTAATTTAAGTGAAATTTAAAAAAAAACTGTCTTTTTACTATTAGATTACACAATCCCAAAAAATGTAAGAGTGTTGCAGTATCCTTATTAAAAAAATGTTAAATCAAGAAAATACTTATTTTTTTCATTTTATACTTTACAGCAATCTAAATTCAAAATTACATGTGAAATTAGAAATAAATGAGTTAAGTGTGAGGAGCTAACTGGTAGAGCATGTCTGATCAAGCAAGTGTTATCTATATCTCTTGGGAACTGGGCAAAAAGAATCAGCCATGTTGGATGAAATAGTTGGCTAGCCTAACATTTAAAATGAATTTGGTGAAAAGTAATTAAAACTTATTTGATATTGTATAATAAATTTTAATTTAAATAATATAATTAATATAATTATTATATGATATAATTAAAACTAATTATACTCCGGAAAGGGGGGGGGGGGTGATATTGGAATCAGCATGTCTGTTGTCCCTATGAATTGCAGCTTAAAACCAGCGCGTTTAATTATGGTAGATAGTCCCTACATATCTAAGAGTAATGCAGGAACCTTATTAAAAATGTGTTTGTTTTTGTTTTGCTTTTTTTTTTTTTTTTTTTTTTTTTGTTTCTTTTTATAAATCTTTGTAACAAATTTAAAAAAAAAAAATTCTTTTTATAAATCTTTGAAACAAATTAAAAAAAAAATCTTTGTTTTCAAATTTAATTTCAGAATGACATAAATATGCATTTTTATTGCACTACAAAGCAGATAGTATGTATATAGATCAATTCATCCATTGGGATTAATTAATGAGTGGACATGCATCCATTTAAAGATTAATTAATGAGTTCAGTGTAGGGAAGCTAGCTGTCTCAATCATTTCTGTTAGAAAATCTCTGATCAAGCAGCTCTTATCTGTATCTTTGGGAATTAGAGAGAACTGCTGGTCAGTTTATAGCATATGTCATTTGATGGCCAGCATTTTATTTTTAATACTAATTTGATATAGATTAAGTTGTTAAGACTAAATTGATATTGTTTAATATGATATTTTTATTTAATATAAACTAATTCAGAGCATCATGTCTCACAAATCTGAAAGGGGGGGGGGGGGGGGCTGCAGATGGACATTTGTCAAGCTCTAACACAACCAGTTGAGGATCTATAATGTAATATATTTGTTATAATTAATGCCTACACCACAGGAGATGTATAAACAAATATTATAAGGAATGGAAAAATCATTAAAATCCTTGTATCAAGGTTGACATGATTTTCTTGCACTCTAAACTGTTTATTAAGAAATAAGGTATCATTTTTAAACATCTGTCGGGATATAAATACGGGTTGGTCACGAGATCAAATTCCATAAAGCCCGAAGGGCTTTATTGTAAATTTGATCTCGTACCAACCCGTATTTATATCCCGATAGATGTTTTAAAATGATACCTTATTACTTATATTTACATTTGTGACTTATTCATATTATATATCAGCCTGATTATAACCTTCAACGCGTGAAATGTTTTATTTTTTCAAACTCAACGGCACGAGTTTGATCTATTGATTGCGCGTCGACCCTTTATGACGTCACTGAGAAATTACGTCGAACGTTTATGACGCGAGGAACCTGTGTTTATACGGATATAGATACGCGTTGCTTTCAATAGTGTTATATAAATAGAGGATATTCAATGTTTTGTAGATGAATATGGAATTAATTTCACGAGTGGGACAGGATTTTTTGATATTTTCACGAGTGCGAAGCACGAGTGAAAATATCAAAAAATCCTGTCTCACGAGTGAAATAAATTCCATATTCATCTACAAATCATTGAATTTTCTGTTTATTACATTTTCTTTGATTTTTCCCTTTGCCTCGGTCTTTTCCTTGACGTCATAGTTGAGCGGTTGAGACGTCGCAGCTTAGCAGTTGTGTGATTGAAAACATTACATAGCATGGACTTTAGCAGCATATTTGGGAAGAAATTTGCAGTTTTAGCTCTATCAAGATGCTTACTTATACTATCTCTATCTTATGACAGGCCAGAAATTATTTTTTACTTACTTTGATATCCTTTCACACTGTGAGAGAATATCATTTTGGTATCCTTTCACACTGATAGAGAATATCACTTTTATTCAATAGATAAATCACAGTATTTCACTGTTGAAAATGTAATAAAAGAAAACATTTGCAAATGTAAATATTGACAATTGAACAATATTTGACGGGTGTATCATGCTGTGACGGGGCATTTATTTATTTTTTTTTCATAATACCTTAAAAACATTTAACGTGTAAAAAAATTATAATTTCTCAACTAGATGGTTCTCGTTGCGAGCAACGAGTGGGTCTTCCGTCTGATTTTGGATAAGATAAGTCAAGACCTTGACTGAGATATTCGTCTATAAAAAGTGAAAGGATGCATATTGTTTAAAACATTATTCTGAGCATCTTTTGTTCAATATTGCTTATCAAAATATTTCCCCTTGTTCGACATGTCAAAGATTTGGCATTCTGGCCCCTTTTGGCCCATTATTTTGAAGATATGATCAAAGTTTTATGATATATAGTTACAGAATGTTAAGATGAACATTTATGCATCAGTAATTTATAACAAAATATTGAACATTAAAAAGTTTCTAAGCCTTCTCAGCCCCTAGTTTGAGGGGT